AAAGGTCAAAACAGCACCAATCGGGACAGCACATACCCAGAATCCAAGAATGTTGAGCCACAGAACCAAGTTTTGACGACCGAGTGATTCATTCATTCCACGTGGAGGTCGTTTGTCTTAATTTTTTATTGGTTTTCAAGCCTTTACGGCACGTTATGTCTGCAAAGTTTCCCCCCCCACTTTGCAGCCCCTACCCCTTACAATTATAGTTTATAAGATCTGCATCCCATTTTTCATACGTACGTTTACATGTACAGTGTACGTTTACACGTACGTGTACTTCCGTCTGTTGGTTCGCGGCCCACCATCATCTCTGGCTGTCAGTCCGTACACGTATAGGTGAAGCAATGCAGTCTTTTTCCATGAAGATGACTGAAAAAAATACCGGTATGTAATATATATATACCGCGTATTATATAGAACTCTCACGCAATATACTTTTATCATATTTTCATCATCATCGAAACAAAACGTACAGTTGCTTATCAGTGCAGAACCAGAGTATTACTGGACACGACATGCACTGCCATGAAGATTGAAACATTCTTCATCGTTACCCTTCTTGCGCTTTCCGCTGCCGAAGCGCACAATGTTCGTAGCCGAGAGTATCTTGAAGAGAAGCGCTCCAGAGCCAAGAAGGAACATCATTCAAAGCAACCTCGTGTTATTGGTGGAGACCAAAGTGCTCTTGGCGATTTCCCCTACTACGGTAAGTGAATTGTCTTCTCTCTAGCTGATGCTGTTGGTAGATCACTAGCCATTGTTCGTTCCTGTACTGACATTCTCGTTGTTCTTTTAGTTGATATGAATTACTGTGGCGGAGCCTTGATTGCCCCCAGGGTTGTCCTTTCCTGTGCTCATTGTGTTGCAGAAGATGTTTACTACGAGGGGTACCAGTTCATTGTCAATGGATACAAGCCTGGTACTACAGCGGGAACCAACGGAGGCATGTGGAGAACTGTGGAAGAGAAGATTCAACATCCTGATTATGTGACTAATGATGCAAATCAAACAGCGGATGAGAATGATATTGCGTAAGTCTATTCATCGAGTCGAGTAGATCATTGTGTTGAAGAATGAATGAATGAATCTCATAGTCTTTCATCCTTCTCAGACTCTACCTCCTCTCCGAGCCTGTGCATGGATTATCTGCCTACATTTCTCTAAACGAGGACCCCAACTGGCCTCCAGATGACACTCCTTTGACGCTTATGGGTATGGGAGATCACCAAGAAGACGATGGCAGTCTTGAAGATGTAGACTTTCTCAATGATGTCGTGATTCTAGTTGTGAATATTAATGAGTGTAAGGAAAGACATCCCCAAATTGATCCAAACAAACAGATCTGTGCTGGTACGTGGGCCACTGCTCCCTGTTGTAGTGTTAGTGTAACACTTTCGTTTTCGTTTTCGTTCGCTCACTTGTACGGAACATGTATGACCTATTGAATCTTTATCCTTGAATATTAGGAGCCGTCGGATACGGATCTTGCATGGGCGATTCTGGAAGTCCCCTCGTGTTCCGCCACAAAGGAAACCACCATCCCCACATTCATGTTGGTATTGTTTCCTATGGCGACAAGGCATGCAACACTAGTCCAAATTCGCAAATACCTTTGTTCGTACGAGTGCATTTATCGATTGGATTAAGGAAATTGTTTGTGAACAATGGGAGGAAGAAGCCGACTTTTGCCCTTGAACAAGTCCTTCTGCAGGAAATCCAGTGTGGCAAAGTGGTACAGTAGTTGCAACAGCGTATAAATGGCTGGTTAGACTCGCAAGTGCTTCGCGATGCCGCACACAAATGCATCAGTTTCTTTCTACACCTCGTTCACAGACAGTCACATTTTGACAAACCAAACCAAACCAGGTCGTCGAAGAATTCAAGGGGATTATATATAGGACTCGGAACAATATACAGTCTGTCACCTGAACGCAAGTGTTGCCTACCGCAGTGTTAACAAAATAATGGAATTGCTAATGGTGAAATTAATTAAATTAGCATGAAGCTTGCGTCCAACACTAGGTTCACATTGATTCATTCGTCTACTCGTATGATCTATTCTCACAATGCGGGGAGTGTATTTTTTTTATATCTTCTTTTTTGTTCCAGTACCGGTAGTGGACCGGTACAGTAATATATTTTCCTGCGAAAATGACTGCATACGGCAAGTTCTAGTCATCACTCTCCAGTACATATTCTACGATGACATATATTATATATCTATAATCCAAATTCGTCTGCTAAAGTTTGTTCGAAAAGTACCAGCAAGAAAAATCCTGGGACACTTGCATCTTTGGTGGATCCATTCACAAACTCGCGAGTACATCACAATAAATCGAAAGATATCGATATTGATGATCATGAAGTTGTTTGCAGCATCCATCGTCACCCTTCTTGCTCTTTCCGCTGTCGAAGCCCACACTATTTGTGGCGGAGACGATCAAGGAGAAGTGATCACCCGAACCACAGTGGGCAGAGCCAAGGAAAACCATTCTGAGGAGCACACAATGCCTCCTACCGATGGAGACAGTATCTATGGTGGTGCCGAAAGCAGTACTAACTACAGGGGCAAAACCGCTGCTCGCGATGGAGAGGATGTCGATGGAAAGATGATTATGCCTGACTCCTACGACGTTAATCACCAGAAGGGTCCGGCCTCTGGTCCTAACAATGCTAAATCCAGCGGTCGCGATGGAGAGGATGTCGATGGAAAGATGATTATGCCTGACTCCTACGACGTTAATCACCAGAAGGGTCCGGCCTCTGGTCCTAACAATGCTAAATCCAGCGGTCGCGATGGAGAGGATGTCGATGGAAAGTATACTAAGGTGGACCCGGCAGTATTTGATCGTCCCGACCACAACATCAAACCGGTCACTGGTCCGGACACTGGTCCGTTTAAGTTCAGCGGTCGCGATGGTGCTCCTGCTTCTTGTTACATCGAGGATTCCGAAGCTGCTAGTCAATGTGTCGACGAAAATGACTGGAAAGACCCGTAAGTTTGTCGGTGGCTGGTCATGCTTGCCTATGCTTCTTTGCTAACCTTCCGTGCTTTTTGCTTGATTGATTTGCAGTGCTTCTGCTGGTTGTGCATGGTACGAATACTTTGAAGATGAAAATGGTCCAGATAAACGAGTTTGCGAAACACTTGCAGATTTTGCAAACGAGGGTCAAAAGTCACCGTGCGAAGCTTGCTGTATTTGCAAGTACTGGTAAGCCTCTCAATGGAATCCACAAGGGTCAATTGCAGATATTTGCATTATCATACACAAAAAGAAAGTATAGTATTGATATTTGCCTTTTCGATTTTTTACGTTTGTCAATGTCTTTCTGTCGAGGTTCAAAGTAGATAGTTAAAAAAGTCGCAGTGCTATATTGAATATTCCTTTCATATTATGATGCAGCTTCTAATTCCAAGATGGAACTCTCTTTGGAAGTAAGCGGTTCATGAAAATCACCATTGTCCAAGAATTCACCCACTGGCAAGTTATCATCAGCAACGACGTCATCAGCAGGAACAACGGCATCTGGAACATTCACAATTCAATGAGAAATATTTAAATGGCACTGATTGATCCAAACAAGCAGGTCTATGCTGATAGGTGCGTGCTTCCTGCTTCCTGCATCAGTGTTGTGGCAACACATCAGTTTTCGTTCGCTCACTTGTACCGGTAGTGTATATGTGCGACCAATCGAATCTTGATCCCTTGAGTACTAGGAGCCGTCGGATACGAACCTTGCATGGGTACATTAGCAATGAAGTTGCGGATCCAACATGAGGTGGAGTGCTTGCGGTTTTGGGTATTCAATCAGGAAAAAGAGTATCCCCAAGAGTACAGGAGTATCTCGTGTTTTATTCTACCAGTAGCTCGTCTGTAAAGGCACCCAATGGATTGGTATACTTCAACGTATTCAAATTAGACTGAAAAAGTAAGAGTATTATAAACCGACGACATAGCGCAAACGAGAATAACAACAATAATCATTAGACGAATATCAAAATGGATTGTTTCTTGTTTTGTACTCTCCTCTAGGTATTGGTTTGTATATCTGTCGCACATTGTGTACTATTTGGTCGAGCAGTATTGGATTGGACCATACATTATCCATTTGCACTCGTGTGTAACTTGTGCATGTAGTATAGTTTGGTGAACAGTCTGAGTGTTCCCTTATTGGCATAATAATGTCGGTTCGTTTATTCCAAGATGGAACTCTCTTCGGAAATGACTGGTTCATCCATAGCATCAGTGTCCAAAAATTCACCCACTGGCAACTTATCATCAGCATCAGCAACGTCATCTGGCTTTCCCACCTTGGCCAGGGCGATTCGAACCTCTTCTTGTACCTGCGCCTTCAACACATCATCAGTCTTTAGTAGATCCACAGTATTGATCCGTCCTTGGGCCAATTGTTTGCCTTGATAGGCATACCAAGATCCCCTACGTTCTACGACGCCAAGATCAAAGGCAGCATCCAACATGCATCCAATCGAATCAATTCCTTCTCCAAACAAAATATCCAACATGACCGCCTTGAAGGGTGCCGCCACCTTGTTCTTGACGACCTTGACCTTGACACGGATTCCCTTGTTGTCGGGCAAGATTTCCTTGCGGCGAGTGTCCAATCGCACGGACGAATAGAATTTCAAGGCATTGCCTCCGGAAGTGACTTCGGGGGAACCATAAATGACACCGACCTTGGACCGGAGTTGGTTGAGGAAAATGACCGTGCATTGAGACAACGCCAAGGATCCGGTAATTTTGCGCATGGCCTTGGACATGAGTCTGGCTTGCAGACCAATTTGTTGATCCATCATGTCTCCTTCCAATTCGGCCCGGGGGACCAAGGCTGCCACACTGTCCACCACAATGACATCGACGGCGGAAGATCGCACCAGCTTATCGACAATGTCCAATGCCATTTCACCCGAATCGGGTTGACTGACAAGCAATGCATCGATATCAATTCCCAAAGCGGCAGCTATGTATAGAAGTAAGCGGGGATGAAAATAAAAAATGAATTGGAAAGATACGCGATATGTGAGACGATGAATGTACGAGTGCAATAAATAATTGATCAAACAGTAACACCATCACGTGGCATTGCAATGCAATGCAATATCACCATCTAAACCCAAACCATGACCATAACACTATCATAACATTGAACATAGTAATCACTCACCATATTGTGGATCCAACGCATGTTCCGCATCCACAAAGGCCGCAGTTCCTCCCTGCTTTTGAGATTCCGCAATCGCATGCAAGGCCAAGGTGGTCTTTCCGGAGGATTCTGGACCGTAGATTTCCACCACACGTCCCTTGGGGAAACCTCCTCCGAGTGCCGCATCCAGTGTCAATGCTCCCGTACTAATAGAATCCACCTCCATGTGATGGGCATCGCCCAATTGGACAATGGAACCTCTTCCATAACTTCGTTCAATTTGGTTCAAGACACCCTCCAGCGCTGCCTTTCTGGCCGGATCCACATCACCCTTGGATGGTGGTGCTGGATCGTCTTTCTTTTTGCGAGCCATGAGACACGCAGTAGACGATGATACCGACGAGGATGAGGAATGATCCACAATGCTTTGAATGGATTTGGAAATGGAAGAAGAAGCATAGGTGAAACCATTGGTTGTGCTTACGAACATTGTCAAAGAAGACAGAAGCAACAGGAGACTTGGAACATTCATCACACTAGAAGAGGACTTCATTTTCAGATCTTTGGCCTTGAATCAATTGAGAAACAGCAAGAATGCAATATAAACAACAACACAGAAGAGTTTGGATATTGATGATTGATTGCAATATTCAATATTGCTGTTTATATACGAGTATGATTATATTATATACTGTATGTTCTGCTATTCGTACCGGTACCGGTATACCGGTATACCGGTATAGGTACCGGTACGAATAGGGGATCGAGCAGATCAGATGCCTTCTGTTAGTCAAACGTGTCATCTAATACAGAATAAGGAGCGGGACGCGACGATCTTCTTCGAAACGCCACAAAATAAGGACTCTTTATGTCCTGAATCAGATTCACCGCATATCTGAAAATTCTAAGGCCATCATTCATCATTCATCATTGCTGCTATTTCTCGGCATCATCTTGCAAGCAACCCAACTCAACTTTACTCGTAGCATCACAATACTTACAACAAATCAAATGATGTATACCAACACCAACAAGTACTTTCTCATTGCCGCTCTTTTTGCTGCTCTTTCCAGCTTGGTGAAAGCTCAGTTTGACGGTGGTGACTTTGGACACCAACCCGCGATTTGTCCTCCTTTCCGATGCCGCAAGGGCCAAGAGCCTGTTCCCAAGTGGCCTTACAAGGTCAAATCTATGGGCTGCGCTGCGTCCTCTGGCGGTATGATGGCCATGCAACCATCCAGCATGGGACAGGAGGATCCTTTGGAAGACTGCTGTCATTCTAGAGAAGTCTGTCTTCAGACCTGTGGTTCCGTCAAGCATTTGTGCATTGAAGAATTTCAGAAATGCAGCGAACGCACTTGCGCTTCTCTTTCGAAGTCAGTAGACCGCCAGGATTGCAACAAAAAAGTGGAATTGCAAAAAATGCTGGCGGGCATGTCCAACAATTGCCGCGACTACGACAATTACCAACGACAAGCCTGCAAGTGTGTCGACGAAGACAAGGCCGACAAGGAAAAGGTCAAGTTTTTGACTCGCTTTTACGAAAAGCACAATCCAGAGGACGTCGGCAAAGCTGAAAAATTGGCGGCCAAGGCGGATACCGCCCGCAAAATGTCCACCGTGATTGTCAAGTTGGTCCAAAAGTACCCAAAGGCCATGAAGATCATTGAAGATCCAAACAAGGCGATGATGGACAAAATATTGAAGGAAGCTAAAGAAAAGAAGGATGACACTGATGAAGAAGATGATGAAAGTACAGCCGAAGATATGGGCACCGACGAACTCTAGAAAGAAGCTGAAAGTATGGAATCATCAATTTCTATTACGAGTATTAGAGCATTAGTCATTTCCATAATGCACTTTACCAAATAGGACTATACTGGTATTCTAACATTGTTATAGCATTTGCTTTTCTAACAGTCACTTTGATTGATGAACAGGCACTGGCACTCGTTTGACAAATCGTAGCATTTGACTTTCCACATTGATTTGTTCCATCTTTTCAAGGTCAACTTGGTACCTCCCATTACTTACTGTCACTAGCAAACCGGCAGCATGTCGTTTGGCTTTTTCCAAAACATAGTCGTCATCGTCATCATCGTCTTTATCATCGTGGTCATGATCGTCAGATGTTGGCTCATCTTGTTGTGCCAGGTGGTTGCCTTCTAGCAAGACATTTTTCTTTTGAAAGGCATCTTCCAGCAAGTCATTACTGGTTTCATCGTACGGTATCCATCCCTTGTCATCACCATCAAACATCCATTGATGCCTAACACTACTAGTTTCCACTCGATATCGGCTGATTAGACTCTGCCGAATGGGTATGGCTTGACCCCGATTCAGACCTGAAATTTCGGGTATGGTCAATCCATTATAGTAGTCTTCTTGTTGGTACTTTTCGACCGTGTCCTTGTTGTCATTTTTTTCGTATCCACAAGAGGGACACTTGCCAGTCCCCGCCATGACGATTACAGGATTGGATATTGCTTGACAATTGTCATAATAATTTTGATAGCACTTGGGGCACCACCAATCGCCCTGTCGAAAGGACGAGGATCCGGATGGATCTCGTTTTAGACCCAAAATGGTGGTGGGAGGCAATCTAGTGGGCAGTGTGCTGCTTGGAGTATCAGTCTCTGATGATGACTTGGTGGTTCCTGTCTGGTTGTTTTGTGTCGTTTGATTGCTTTCACCATCTTGCTCATCATTGTCATCTTGCAAGGCTGTCGTTTCCACAAAATCACCCTTTCCATTGTTACTCCATTCCATATTGACAAGCTTACAATCCACATCTCCTCGAATCAATACCCCAATGCCTTGATTATCATATACTTTACAATCGTTCATGATGAGTGTAGATTTCGGCGGTACCTTGAGGTGACCACTCTTGCCTTTTTTGGATGCCTTGATGGGTGCATTATTGTGCTGGTCGTTCTTCGTAGTATTATTAGTGTCATCATCACTTCCCCCTCCCATGGCGGCCGACACTTCAATGGCTGCCTTGTCTTGTCGCAAGGTTCCAGAAATTTGTGTTCTCGTCAACGTCACGGACGCTTGGGCGTAGGCATAAATGGCTCGACTGGCACTGTTACAAATGTTACAATCCTCCAACTGCAATTGAGATTCCCCACGGGCACATAGACCATGAACGCCCGCATCGACAATTTGACAATGGTATAAATTCACAATGGGTTGTCCAAAACACACCAATGGGGATCGCAAGGTAGCGTGCAATTCGCAATTCCGCAGAGTGACACTACATTTATAAAAAGTAGGTATCGGCACACACAAAATATCATGAGTATAACTGCCGCTCAGTTGATGGAAACATGGAATGCGCGACGTCTAGCATGCAACATATTCAATACAGTATATAGATATACTACCATCTAGTATAGTGCTGCATCAGTATATAAAGAAGGAACTCACCGCGATTTTTGAACGATCCACAAGCAAAAGCCGCAAGTGCTGTGCAAACTTCCGTCTTGCATGTCCAGACTAGACTTCTTTCGCAAATTGACGGCAGCCCCCACTTGTCGATGATCACCACCATTATTGGATAATGATGGTTCCAATGTATGCTTTAGTTGAATGTGCCTCAGTGTAAGTTGCGAAAAGTTGTTGAGGACAAAGAGGGAGTGCAAGTCGCCCTGAATTGTCACATTCGGTGATGTTGTCGATGTTGTTATTGTCGTAGACTCATCATAATCTCCAATGATAGTCAACGTTTCTTGTTTTCGCAACACCACAGTCTCTTCCAACCTCACAATTGACGTTGTCAAATGAAGAGGTCGTTTGGTTTCTACGGCCAGTTGGCAAGCTTGGTGCAAGCCACTGATAGTCCCATTGTTCTGAATGATATTATTATGATTGTCTTCAGCAGTTGTCGTCGTCGTCTGAGGATAAGCATCGATGAGAAGAAGTGGCGGAAAGTAGATTCTTGCATCCAATGCTTCTTGCTGATCTCCTTCATCATGATGGTTACTGTTATTCTTGCTTTCGTTTTTGTTGTCACTTATGTTATTTGGACTACCATTGATCATATCGGAGCGGAGGAGGTATTACACTTATTATCATCAGACATCAGCGATGAAAGTATCGATGAGATGTTACTCGGTACCCCGAAAATGTTCGATAGTGTCCGTGAGAGGCTCGCAGTGTTCGCGATCGTGCGGGGATGCGAGTAGAATTTACAAGAGAATCATCGCATGTCTATTGGAACTATTAATTTGAAATTGCACATCAAAATCGGACCCTCGCGTCAATCGGAATTATCCATCAGATCCGTTTGCCCAGTTTGCAAGGAGCAGGCAGTAGTAATACCTACAATAATAAGAATTGCATATACAGTGCATTATTTGTCTGCTGACAGCAGGATCAATACTACTAATCAGGGACCTGATCATAGATATATGGTCCCCCCAATTCCGGCAAAACATCTCATTTCCATTTTCAAATGATATGAACAATAACAATAAGACATCTCGTTGAAATGATATGGCAGAGCAGCATCCCATTGATCTCTCTATTGTTTGGGACTATATAAGTTACAACAGATTCTCAAACATGGCTCCCGCGCAAAATACGCGAGGTTTGATACGTGCACGTGTACCGGTACCGGTAGGTAACGATACCGTTTAGTTTCACCGGTACCCGCAAGCGTGCGTGCCATAACAGCAAGACTAAAGATTATATACCAACTTGGTATGAGTTCCACATCCGGCCCATTTCCAGGAAGAGATCCAATAATACCTTGGAAGTGGGAATGTAGATCTTTGGTAAGTGATGCCTTTAAGCCATTGGTACCATTTCCATTCCACTTGTCAATTGACGGAAGCCTTCCCTTGGCAAACCTTTTTTTGGGACAAATACAAGCCATAGCAGCAAGAAGCATATTGGCCATGATGGTAGAACCAGTTTGCCTTGCTGGATGTCTCTTGTCAAAACTGCCATTCCAATCATAGTCTTTGCCTCTGGCTTCCATACAATAGCGCTAAAGAAATCAATGAAGTAGAAATCAATGAAGTAGCCCACATCCTCAACGTTGTAGGTCTTCAGCAGGTGTGCACAGTCCTCAATGCACAAGAACCAGATACCATTGTGTTCCACTATCTGATCCTTGTTCCTGTTCTTGGACCTGGAACCATCTGACAAACCTCTTGAAGCATCATTGGCTCTGCCAAGGTTGGCAAATCCACATTCCCACCTGTTGGCTCATTCTTTCTCTCTTGACTCAGACTCAGGGACAAATTGGGTGGGCGGCGTTTGTCTTCCCTCTTCAAACCTGGGCGCTCCAATCCATCACCAACAATGCACCAGTCAATTCTGATAGTCCTTCCGTCTCGAGCAGTATGCTACTCAGTCATGGATTCGGCCTAGATCAAGTATCAGTAGTGACCCAAATGGGTTCAGAAATAATGTGAATTCTCCTCGAAAACCAGTACTGGCCGAACTGTGGGCCTAATTTCTTCAAACACATATTTGTTGACCATTGATATGTATAACACCATTGATATGTATAACAAGGCTGGGGAAATTGGATTGAGAGTTTTCTAGGTGGAAGTGATTAAACCACACTCACCTGAGTTTGGTATTCAATTCAGTGTACATTTCTGAAGTTGTCGAGAATCTTCCCCTGTTGCCGTGTCAGCACCCAGACAATGTCAGACTGTCACCAAACTTGTTCATATGTCTATAGGTCTCAATATTTGGCGATGGTTTTGAGTGCTACAGTGGAAAAGAGATGATCTGCAATGCCCCATTCCACAACTTCCTTGCGAGTCCTAGGACAATTACTATTATTAGTCCTATTCTTATTATTAAAAACATTATTATTATTATTATTATTATGCCAGACCAAACCGTTGCAGAGCCACACTGATAATTGCTACCAATGGGATCATGGATGCGGCGTAGATGAAAAACAAAAACTTTGCCATCACTCCAGCTTGTTCAGGTTTGTTGGAGACTTGCAGCATCAATACCGAATTTTGTGCCGAGGGCATGGAACCTTGGAGTATTGCAATGAACCACAGCATGGGGGCTTGTTGGGGTCCTGATACCAGTCCAATTTTCTGAAAGCCTTTGAGTAAGCCGACCATCAAGAGTGGAGAAAGGATGAATCTTGACAGGGAGACACAAATGAATTGTTTCACAAAAGATGCTCTGTTGCTGTTTTCAATGTCGGATTCCACCTTTGTTGGGATGACAATAACTTCTTCTTTGGGCTGTGATTTTGGTCGGATCCCAATATTCAGGGCCAAGGACGATATCAACACCAACAAGGACAACGGACTTGCAGCTCCACCAAAGGTGGCAAAGGAATTGTAGATAGTTTGCAATGGTCCACCCATGAATAAATCACGAACGGGTGTCCATAGTGCCAAGAGGAGGCCAATACTCGTTCCAATGACGGGTGGAGGAAAGAGTGGTTTGAGTTTTTGCAGCAATGTTGCATCATTGCTGCTATTTGTGTTGGATTCATCTTTTCCCACCAAGGCAGCCCGTCCATAGGACCAAAAGAAGGGTGACCATCCCACCAAGAACAAACTTACATTGGCATAACTCTTGGCCAAGTATTCAGGTGAATTCCGAAAGAGGGATTCGCAAAAGATCAACGGGACCACGCTGGAATTTCCCCATGCCGAACAAACTGCCGTACATCGACCATCGTCCGAATCTTTGTCAATTCCACAGAGTGGCACTAGAACCAACTTTGCCAATTGATACAATAGAAACGGTTGCAGGACTCCCAACAAGGGTCCCGCCAAGGAAGATTTCGACAAGCCATATCGAGCAACCGTCCGCATAATGGAAGTCCCTAAAAACATGGGCAACAATATGCCAAAGGTAGTTTTGGATAAAGCCGAAACCACGGGTCGATTGAGCAATTCTTGTTGGACGCATCCAGCACCAATGCAAGCGGCGACTCCCAATTCGGCCATGGCTTTTCCTGCGGCAGCTGCAGAGTTGCTATTGGCCAGGGCTGCAGGAAGCTTCCACAACGCTGCCGATGTCATCATACTGCTTGCTGTTGGTTGTAGTTATTGGCCAATTGTACGATGCTGTATTACCGTATGACAATAACAATGTAAGCGCCAACGAGTCACTGGAAATGGATATTTAATATAGTAGTAATATGTTGAATGTGCATGTAGTGCGATAATGACAAATTGAAAATATTATTGGCATTTATTTCATTGTAAAAATAAATATGCGGTGTGGAAATAATAAATGCGAAGCAAGTGATGACGTCACACCATGTAGTCGAATGTGTCGGCTTGTCACAGCGAGACATCAATATAATACAGTATTGATTATATCATTTTGCGGTGTGCGAGATGCGACACGACTTCACTATTATTTGCACCTATAGTATATAGGGTGTTTCATCTACCCGTGTCCGTACATGTGAAGTCTATCAAGGTTCATCTAGTATACCCTTGCAGCGTCAGTTGAAAGCAGAGCTGTTTCAAGACGCGACGACAAGACAATCACAGTCTTACCAGTGTCCGCAGCTGGAATACATACAGACGCCTAAGAATAGAGATATATATAAGCAGGCATCGTCAACAACAACAACAACAACAACAACAACAACAACAACCGATATGCAACGAGAGTTCCTGTTGAAAGGCCTCGCGGTCTGCTGTTTCCTGCTTCTTGTGCAAAATATTTTTCAGTCCCTTGGTCGAAACGCGACGTCTTTCCCCATGTTACCCGATTCGACCTCTTGTTTCGTCAATAATGCATCATTATTTTTGCCAAGAACTGAATCATCCAAACCGGCCATTGAAAAAAGAGACCTTTTGTTGAGCGTTCCATTCTACGTCTATGAAGATTTGGCGTGGAACGGAGCCACCCGTGGCGGAAAATCGGTAGAGGAGATTGCCAATCCACCATCGGATAGTGCGAAAGGCAAATCCAAACATGGCAGTGACTATTGGATGTGGAAGGCCAGTCTTAATGGTCATCCCATGCGCACCAAGAACATGAGCGAAGCAAAGTTGTTTTTTGTGCCCTGGCTCATGAACTTTTGGGATTGCCGGGTGTGGAAAAATCGAAGCCTTTGTGTCAATGGTTTGTGCGACATTGCTCTTCTTTTGGATTCCTTGGACAAATTGTTGGATTCTCCGGCCTTTCAACAGTATCCGGATCATCATGTCATCGTACGATCCTTTTGGTCAGCGGCCCATTACAGATGGAATGCAGAACAACTGAAACAGAACAAAGAATTTCAACGATTCTTGGATGCCTTTACACAGATGCAAGCATTAGTATTTGAAGGAAAGGACATTTATCCCAATAAGGCAGCTGGGCGGCATACCTTTACATCCTATCATGTCGGCAGTCCCTGCCCAATCTATTCCGAAAATGATCATGGTGGCAAGGAAAAACCCTACGATGTTGGCATGATTGGCTCACTGCACAAGAAAAAGCAAGCCTTTAAGAATCGGCGAAATATTTGCAAATGGTTGGGCCAAATCAACGACAACGACAACAACAACAAAAACAGTAATGCTACTATGATTCGAGTCTCTGTCTGTGGAGAAGGCAGCCAATGTCCTGCCTTGGCCGAATCCAAATTTGGCTTTCACGTTGCCGGTGATACTTACTCGAGTCAACGACTCATGGATACAATCTTGAGTGGAACCGTTCCCATCTTTACGCATTTACACCAATACGAATTGGCGGGGGACTGGATCGATTGGAGCCAGTTGTCGTACTATTTGCCAGTCCACGATGATACGGGTGCGAAAAAGGGCAACAACACGATTGCCGGTCCGACGCATAAGGTTACCATTCATTCACTGCGAGCCGCTGCGGATAGTGACATTTTTGAAGAACGATTGCGTGCCATTCTAGAGGACGAGGCGGGGTATCAAGCCAAACACGAAAAGATATTGGAACACATTCCACTTTTTGATTACACAACGCTGTATCCCTTTGATACCTATATGTACCTATTCCAAGCCGAACTGTTTCCAGAAACCCGACATCCAATTGGAGCTAGTCGGTGGAGCGCCTTGCGATTGCCGCCACCTCTTTTTGTCGATCCACCACCACCACCACTACCTGTATGATGTTTATTGTGACAGAATGCTTGGAAGCTGGTAGTTTGGGGGGCGAGCAGCCATCGATGGAAGAATGAAAGTGTTGCTATCGAGGCTTAGATCCAGCTCTTGAATGCTTAGATGTCATAGACATTGACTGTACAAGGTACTTGGCTGATGGTAACAAGAGGATCGATAAAGCAGCAAATCAGACGGCTTTCACTTCGTCAGCAGAGTTCCAAATCAAGTTTGTTCCATTCTCCACGGGGAGCTGTGATGGATGGGCAACTTCGTCCAATTTGCCACACGCGACTGTGCTGAAGCGATACCACGTGCGCAGCATCAGGTGAAACCGTAGCCGTTGTCATTGTGGGGCCCTACTAAAGTTTTCAAAAAGTTACCGTAGTAAACAAAGCGACCCTGGGAGAAAAAGACGAGGCACTATATATAAAAGCTACCCTGGGAAAAGAAGACGGACAATTTTGCAGACCAGACTGAAGCGCAAACGGAAAACCCATCCCTACCTACTTGTACCACAACAAGAGGAGCGCTGTGAGAAACGGCACTTCTGCGCTGGATGCAGAAGGCAATACTCAGTTCAGATGCTTAAAGGCAAAACCCATATAAGCCCAGTAGTCCCATAACTTATGTACCGATAGGAATATAACTTCAGTTGAATGATAAAAAAAAGAAGGGATTGATAAACGAATAATTGAAAACAAGCATCTTGGAAGCGGCGTGCCATGACGCCAGTGTCGATGTAAGGTCCAGTGGTCCTATAGCGATTGATTGGACCAATAAATTCAGCGAAACCGAAACTGCGCTCCTGGTGGAAATAATGTCGGATGCAGAAGGCAAAAATCAGTTCAGATGCTTAAAGGCAACCCACATAAGCCCAGTAGCCCTATAACTTAAGTTGAATGATATCAAAAAGAAGGGATAGAAACGAATAATTGAAAACAAGCATCGTGGAAGCGGCGTGCCATGACGCCAGTGCCGATGTAAGTCCAGTGGTCCTATATAGCGATTGATTGGACCAATAATAAAGAGGCAAAAAATACACAAGTCCAATGGTCCCATAAGTTGTACCGAAAAATCAGCAGTATACTCGTATGATCAAACAAGTCGGGAACACTTGAAGTTGCGTGATCAGAGAACACAAAGGGTTTGAACTCTCCGCTCATATTTCTTTAATCGAAATAGGAACCCGCGTCGACTGAAGGCGAAAGCTTCCACCGGCTCTTCGGAGAAGGGTATACATATGTACGTGTACCTGGTACTGTACAAGCAACGAGTGAATGGCTCATATTTTCCCCATTTCATTGAAAATAAGGAGCGTGGATGGAATGAGGCTAGTTGCATACCGATACACGTACGGGAGCTGGTACCACCAGGTACTGTACGGTACGATACTGTATATACTTCCAGTCCTAAGTTGTAGGAAGTTTCCACTCATATTTTTGAAGAGAGAGAAAAACGAGTGATACTATAATGTCGCTTCAAAATGTTATCAATCAGAACCAGCAAACCATTGCTTTCCTTGACGCCAAAGATTACTGCAGTGCGATTGTGTCATCTTCGTATGCACTAGAGCGCCTTGGTAGCATCCCATCAACACAAGTAGACAACTTCCTTTTTTCAGCAAGAAGCTCCTCATCCTCACCTGAAAGCTCAACCGATCAGTGCATGCTTCATAATAACATGAAGGAGAACAATGACCTATGTGAACCTCGTCCATTTTTCTACAACCATGCCATTCAATTGCCTCCCGGCGTGACTGATCATAATATCATCACACCCGTTCTCATTTTCAACACTGCCCTTGCTCATCATTTGATGGCACTACTAGACAAGGAATGGTCACCCAAGTACCTGCATAGAGCAAAGCAATTGTACGCCTTGGCGCACGATTCGTCACAAGATATCGAGCAGGATCCCTTGTTCCTCTTCGTGTTGTATAACAATGCTGCATTGGTCGATCTGCAGATTGGGGACAACGACTTGTGGAATGCATGCGTTGGGCAATTGGTTTCCATCTACATGGTTATGGTGGATGAAGGTTACACTTCGCGACTACGCCATCTCCAAGGTTTTCTTGAGAGCCTCCTTGCTACCATGCCAACAGCGGCCGCAGCTTGATGGGGAGATCGATAGATAATTTGTAACATTGTGATACGACTAGGCATATATATGAATACTATCAAGTGAGTACACTGTAGCTCGATTTGTTTTCATAAATAGCCTTGGCTGTAGGTCTGGCGATCGCCACGACTCGGCTTCGTCATCGGGTGCCATGAAACGAGCTTCTCGCGGTGACACAGATTGTTCTCTGGATTCTTCTACAGCCAAAATGGTAGTAACAGCAGCACGATGAAGTCAACTGTGGACAGGCAGCAGAGCACATTGCGTCAGGGTGTGGCAACCCCAGTGGTGCTTTGTGATTAAAAAAACACGCTTCGAAATAATCAAGAACAGAGGAGACGCAGCATATCTCTTCTTGAGAAACGATTGATTTTAATTATTCTTGTGGGTGGGTGACCAACGAGAAGTATGGAACATATTACTATTCTACAACGACAAATCGCGCAGAAACTGAAGTGATGATGCCTTATTCGGCTATTTTGAATTTTTTCTGGAACTGCTAGCTGTGCGCGAAGCGCGCGAACTTCAACAATTATGGTCTGTGCATGGTCGGCAACATTCAACATGACATCTCTCCAGTATTCAATAGAATATGGTGCGAAAATCGGTCATGCATATTATTATTATACATTATTATTGCGATGCTAATAATCGTTTGCATGTTCACGTACATTTGTAGTCTGTCAACGTTCATCTACTATACCGTCGCAGCGTCATTTGAAAAGCAACGCTGTTTGAAGACGCGACGATAAGACAATCACAGTCTTACCAGTGACCAGTTGGAATACATCAGGCGCCTGATACTACAGCGTATATATATATAAGCCCAGGCATCATCGTCAACAACAATAACAATCGATATGCAACGGGAGTTTCTGTTGAAAGGCCTCGCGGTCTGTTGTTTCCTACTTCTTGTTCAAAACATTTTTCAGTCCCTTGGGCCTAATGCGACCTCTTTCTCGATGTTACCCAATTTGACGTCTCGTTTCGTCAATACATCATTATTATTGCCAAGAACTGAATCATCCAAACCTGTCATTGAAAAAAGAGACCTTTTGTTGAGCGTTCCATTCTATGTCTATGAAGATTTGGCGTGGAACGGAGCAACTCTTAGCGGAAAATCGGTAGAGGAGATTGCCGATCCTTCGGATAGTGCAAAAGGCAAATTCAAACATGGCGGTGACTATTGGATGTGGAAGGCCAGTCTTAATGGTCATCCCATGCGCACCAAGAACATGAGCGAAGCAAAGCTGTTTTTTGTGCCCTGGCTCATGAACTTTTGGGATTACCGGGTGTGGAAAAATCGAAGCCTTTGTGTCAATGGTTTGTGCGACATTGCTCTTCTTTTGGATTCTTTGGACAAATTAGTGAGGTCTCCAGCCTTTCAACAGTATCCGGATCACCATATCATTGTACGATCCTTTTTCTCAGCGGCCAGTTACAAGTGGAATTCAGAACAAATCAAACGGAACAAACAATTTCAACGATTCTTGGATGCCTTTAAGCAAATGCAAGTACTTGTATTCGAAGGAACGGATCGATATCCCAATAAGGCAGCTGGGCGGCATTCCTTTACCTCCTATCACGTCGGCAGTCCCTGCCCAATCTATTCCGAAAATGATCATGGTGGCAAGGAAAAACCCTTCGATGTTGGCATGATTGGCTCATTGCACAAGGAAAAGCAGGCCTTTAAGAATCGGCGAAAGATTTGCAAATGGTTGGGCCAAATCAACGACAACAACAACAACAACAAAAGTAATTCTACTATGATTCGAATCTCTGTCTGTGGAGAAGGCAGTCAATGTCCTGCCTTGGCCGAATCTAGATTTGGCTTTCACGCTGCCGGTGATACCTACTCAAGTCAACGACTCATGGATACAATCTTGAGTGGAACCGTTCCCATCTTTACGCATTTACACCAATACGAATTGGCGGGGGACTGGATCGATTGGAGCCAGTTGTCGTACTATTTGCCAGTCCACGATGATACGGGTGCGAAAAACGGGAAAAAAAAGACTGGCGGTCCGACGCATAAGGTTACCATTCATTCACTGCGAGCCGCTGCGAATTGTGACATTTTTGAAGAACGATTGCGTCCCATTCTAAAGGACGAGGCGGGGTATCAAGCCAAACACGAAAAGATATTGCAACACATTCCACTTTTTGATTACACAACGCTGTATCCCTTTGATACCTATATGTACCTATTCCAAGCCGAACTGTTTCCAGAAACCCGACATCCAATTGGAGCTAGTTGGTGGAGCGCCTTGCGATTGCCGCCACCTCTTTTTGTCGATCCACCACCACCACCACTACCTGTATGATGTTTATTGTGACAGAATGCTTGGAAGCTGGTAGTTTGGGGGGTGAGCAGCCATCGATGGAAGAATGAAAGTGTTGCCATCGAGGCTTAGATCCAGCTCTTGAATGCTTAGATGTCATAGACATTGACTGTACCAGGTACTGGCTGATGGTCACAAGAGGATCGATGAAGTAGCAAATCAGGCGGCTTTCGCTTTGTCAACAGAGTTTTGGATCGGCCAAACCACTTTCATCGTTCTATTCTAGCTTAGGGGGAGAAGGGCAGAAGAGGAGGGAGGGAAAGGAAGAGGAAGAAGAACAAAAGAAGGAGGTTTTCAAGAGTTCTTTTGCGGTGATTGCGGTATTGCAAAACAAAATGTTACAGTTTTCAAATCTAGTTGTGATCTGGGGGGAGCCTTTATGGGTAAAAACCGTACCCACCAATCACAACACCATCATTCTACAAGCCTGCATGTAGAGATCTCGACAGAAATAGATAAGGAAAGTCTTTCTACATGTACCCTTGCTCTTCTCACACACGGGTCCGACTAGTCAAAAATATCGATTTTGAATAAATGAGCATCAACCAACACACCATGAGACAAGAAGTCAATCCTTCTCGTCCCAGCTGGACTAACAAACTGGGAAAAACTATCGCATGAGTAACAAGCCTCTACAATTAAATTGTGCTACGAATATCGGCAGCAATTGATAGAAATCAGTGAAGCAGAAGCATGCATGTATAGCAAAACTTTCCATCAAGGATTTTTTCATTTCCAAGCCATTCGTCAGATGAAGTTGGCATCCAGGGCTACAAAACGTCCCCATATTTTCGATAGTATGTATAAGGAAGGAATTCGAACTGTGTATCTGTTTGTTTATCTATGATGCTATGCTGTTATTCCTCTCATTGTGTTGTGTTCGTTGTCACTGTCGGAAAAAAAACTTGCGCAAAATGCGTAATTTGAATGATCGCGTTATGTTTCCAACCCATCTTGGTTTACCGATACTTTGCTGAAATCCTTGTTGTAATGTAGGTTTCTACTGTTTTGAGTATAAATTGGTATAGATACACCATAGGTAGCGCCATAGAATCCAAGGTGGTTTGGGATCCAGTCTCTTGGCGACACACCACATTTCTTATGAAAGTTCCTTATCCCATAGCTCAGAGCCCTTGTTGGATTCTTGACCTTAGAAGGCAGTAGGCCATGATGATTCATCAACTTTACCCAATTCTCACGAGTCATCCACTTGTCTTGGTATGCTTGATGCATTTTCCGGACTGCTTCCAAAGCAGCTACCATTTCACCACTAGGACTCATCTCGCATCTCCACTTTTTTTGATATTATGCCATTTCAATGTGTTTAGAAGCGAATTGTGCAAAAAAGTGGAGATGCCCGATGTTTTGTTGATCCCAACAAGGGGTCGGGAACGGCCGGGAAATAGAAATTTAGCATACAATTCTTGAGAGTAAATATTGATTTTCCCGGCCGTCCCGGAAGGTTGATGATGAAAATGACGATTTGTTGTTCTGATGGATTGGTACAAAACCCACGAAGTTTGCCAAAGTACTTTCTTAGACCTGTTATGTGACGTGGACTACTATTCTTACGCATTTCTACTGCGTGTTTGAGAATTTTGGTTTGGACTGTACGTGAGATCTACGATTGAGTACTGTGTCATCTCTGTGAATTCCCTTATTAAAAATACTTCAAATGCCACCTCCTCGACCAATTGAGTATCTGCCTTTTCCATCAAGACTAAAATAGAAGGAAATAGCCGTCGATACAGACACGTGCCTACCGGTACCTGGTACCGTAAGAGACCGTTTTAATTTATGTGGTCAACTGTGACACGTAAAATTGTTGACACCCGAACACCACCGTAGTGGTACATCTCAGTTTCCACATGCGCAAATAAGCTGCCGGGGGGGGGAAAAGACGGGCCATCGTGCGCAGATCAAAAAGGAGACTAGAAATCCTTTCTCATCCTTTTCGCAACGTGAATTTTGATGCCTGCGCCAGTTATCTCTTATTTTGGTGCCACACGCCCTATAAATGAAGCAGTCTTGCCTCAATAGAGAGAAAAATCATCTCAATAAGTCTGGATAGGTTGCGCACTTCCCCTCACAGATTCAATCGGTAATTTAATCCTTTCTGCAAGTGGATATCGGACTGTGCATTTTTAATCCTTTCTCCAAGCAAATATCAGAGTGCACACCACTTCACGCAAGCCAAGAACTGCCGTACCACGGTACTCACGTTGTCGACTTCGTATTAGCGTTGAAAGTACAGCTGTGCAGTTTTCCCCAAATTTGTGGTTCTCTCTACTTCGCCTTTGACTACTAGGGCGATAAGTAGACATCCTACGTTTTTACCCACATGCAGTTTCTGCTCAACCTAACGTGAATGAACGTGAACCTTGCAAATCACCAACCGCCCCTTTGTGGTCAAGTTATGGATCCACATGTCAGTCTCACAATTTTCAATTTGGTGCACCCAAACAGTCAATTTGAAAAACGACACAGATGTATCATTCTAGTAGCACCATGAACAAGATCCTCTCAATCGCTTCTCTCCTAGCTGCCCTGTTGGTACGTAATGTTTCCGCCCAGCAGCCCGAGCTTCTTCAGAATGCATTTGATGCAATTGACGGAAAGGGGGTTCCTGTTGCAGGTGGCTGGAATAATAAATTGATAGGTGGCGACAATGTGGGACAATACTTTCTTTTTCTTCCAGAACATTGGCTAGCGGTCTTTGGCTCCTTTCCTGAAGCAAGCGAATTGTCTGGAGCAACCTATGAAGTGCGATGGCAACGAAACGGTCAAACCATGGGGGGAGCAACTGTGAGGGTTTGGAAGTCGCAGGAGAGCCGTCCAGAAATTGGTATTCCTGTAGGGTTTGAGCATGGAAGGTTTGATCCTTTTGGAGAATCTGCCAAAGGGCAGTGGGTAAGTTGATGGAGGCTTCCTGTCCATGTGCGCTGCCCATTGTGTGCGTTTGTCTAAAGCTACTTCTGTTTTCACAGCAAACTGGTGATGTCATTTACCCTCTCGTTGGAGCCGAAAATGATGGTGGTGGAAACACAGGTGGCGATCCTCACTTCACTACCTGGAGCAATGAGCACTACGAGTACCATGGACAGTGTGATCTCACCTTGGTCAAGGATGCCGATTTTATCGAAGGCAAGGGATTGGACATTCAAATCCGTACCAAGGTCGTTCGCTTCTGGTCCTATATCAAGTCCGTTGCCATCAAGATTGGAGACGACATTCTTGAGATCGAAGGCTCCCCTAATGCCGATGATGCTGAAGCTCACTACTGGATCAACTACGAGTATCAAGGCGACCTTGACACTTTCGCAGGCTTCCCTGTGACTCAGGAACTTCCCTCTGTTTACAAGCGTCATTACATCATCAAGGTGAACGAGAGTACTTCCATTGTTGTCCAACTTTACAAGGAGTTCGTCCGTGTCAAGTTCAACGGTGACCAATCCGTCTTTGGAAACACTATCGGTCTTCTTGGAAACTACAAGACCGGACAGCTTCTTGCCCGCGATGGATCCACCGTCATGGATGACTTTGCTGAGTTTGGAGACGAATGGCAAGTCCTTCCTTCCGAGCCAAGGCTCTTCCACGAAGTTTCCGAACCTCAATTCCCTGAGCTGTGCATCAAGCCGGAAGATCCCCGCGGAGAACGCAAGCGTCGCTTGGCCGAGTCGTCGATCTCCATTGAAGCCGCTGAAGCCGCCTGTGGATCTGCTTTGACTGACCCTCTTACCATCAAGGACTGCGTCTATGACATCTTGGCCACTCAAGACCTGGATATGGTCGGTGCATTCTAAGCGTCCTATATCATTGATATACCCTTGGAGCAAATTATGTGTGATGCCCTTGGGTGAAAGTACTACATAAGATTAGTGAGTCTATTATTCAATAGCCTTGTTTTAGTGAATGGATTGATTATATATTCATTCGTTCATTCATTCGGTATATATATATATATAGGCGCGATCTGAGTTTTGCATCGATCCACCAACAATCGATTCTGCTCTACTACTTCCAGTCATGATGTGGATTGGTCCAAGGTACAAGAAACTGTCCCCAAATGTCTCATGACGATTCCTCACGATTGCAACAATTTGAATTGGAAAATATTTCAAGAAGACATTGGTGGACATTTGAATTGCTGGGAATTTCAAACTGCCTATTTGTATCTTCAACATGACTATGAGACCATGGACGATGGTGATTGGCATCATCATCCACGTATTTGCAAAGGAGGACAATAACATAATCCCATATAATGAATGATGATGGTGATGATGATAGCGCAACAGGGATATACAGTGCTAGTATACTACTATCAAAGGGATAAGTCCATTCATACATAGCTTCTCCATGATACAATAGCACCAAGATATTATTATTATAGGATGCAAAAAGGTGATGAAGGACTAACTTAGCTTCATATGATATACTCATCAGCAATTAATTTTCATCATATTATTGCATTCATCATCATTGCATTCATCATACAATAACCGAAACCGCATTCGGGCTCTTTACCTGAAGACAGAAGTGGGAAGGCGGCGAAGCAAAAGCAACCGGCAAGGAAAGGAACATATGGATAAGGAAATGATTAAGATGAATCAAGGCGGCAATAAGAATGGTATGACGGAAACATCAGCAAAACAAAGCCCTACAGAGACCTTGGAAGCTTGGAAACAAGTTCATACTCAACTAATCAATGCAGTTCTGGTAGCCAAAGAAGCAATAGCCGCCAAAAAGCTCCAACGCCGGTATTGGATGGAAGAGATCTGTTCCAATTTGAATCCTGAAACTGGCAAATTGAACTCATCTTCGGTGTGGAAGCAACCCGATGTGTCCAATAAGAGCAATAGTAATGGTAGAACCAATAAGACGGCTGCCACCAAAAAGCGCAAACGATCTACGGAGCCAAAAACCAAAAAGTCTGCGGCGGAGAAACGCAAGAAGGGTTCCAAGAAAAAGCCATCGCCCGCCAAGGAAAATGCTTTAGACGACAACGAAGATGACAATAAAGAAGAACAAGTTATGGAGAAAGTCAAGAAGGAAGAGAGCGCAGAAAAATCGCCCTTGTCCAAGAAAAAGAAGAAGAAAGTGGTAAAGAAGGAGTCCCATGATCAAAATGCAGAGGCCAAAGCGCAAGCAGATATTCCAGACAATAAGTCTTTATGCATGTCCATTGATGATGCTGATGATGACGATTCGTCTCCAGATCACTCGGCAATCAAGAATGAAGACAAACATGGCAAGAACATTGATCCCAGAGAAGAATCAGACGAAGAAATGACACCTTTGGAAAAGACGAAGACAACAGGTACGGCCCACCATGACTCCAATCCGAGAGCTAGCCCTTCACCACCAATGCATCCCCACGATTATGGCCCCATGGGCCAGCATAATTGGGGCGCTACTGCTCATCATCCTCATCATCACCACCAGCATCATGATCCATATATGGTAAGTTTCATATCCATTCATGCTGGCTTTGGGATGATCCTACCTGTCGCTAATTATATATTCCCATAATTTGTTTGCTTTATTGTTCAGCCTCCAGGTGGTGGATTTGGAAATCCCCATGCTCCCTATCATCATCCTCACCATGCACCACATCCGCACCATGCACCGCATCAGCATCATATGTCACCATCAGGAATGCACGGTCCTCCTCCTTATGGATCTTATCCTCCCTATGGTGGTCCTCCAACTCATCATCATCATCATCCTCATCATCCACATCACGCTCCTCCTCCCCATATTGCCGCTATGCATCATAATCATCATCATCATGCATCATCATCATCATCATCCTATCCACCACAGCATGCATATGAAATGGGAGGAGGAGGAATAAGTGCTACCATTCCATCTCCACGAGCATCACCCCCTCCAGCATCAGCAGCAGCAGCACATTTACCCTCCAAGAACAATAATACTGCTGCGGACGATGCATCCAGTGAAGATGATGATGAGGAGGAGGAGGAAGAAGAAGAAGACGAAGACGATGATCATGACGATGAATTTACGAATACTAGTCCTGGCGAAAAGGAAGGCAAATCGGAAAAAAAGGTACCGCCCTTGGCCATTTTGGGAGGAGCCGATGATGATGACGACGACGAAGAAGAAGAAGACGGCGATGGATAGATTATCCATAATATAATATGATACTGGATAATAGCCATTCCTAAATAATATGCAACGAACTGTCCATTCAAAAAGTGATGAAAGAACGACATCCGCACTTCGAATCGTGCGCGGGCTATATTAGAATTGCCTGCACTGGAAAGGAAAAGGAGAGGCCGAGTCTATTTAGTATTTTAAAAAAGATGATCATTCCTTTTGATTTCATTTCAGCCATTGTGCAGTTATGGTCCCCTCAACCAAAGCTTTATAATCGAACAACTTTGGTCTCTTTGGATATCATTTCCTCGTGTGGATGATGAATATTGGAACTAGTCTTGAAGTATCTCGCCTCGTTTGGTGTTGTTATGACAGTTGTCGTTGGCGGTTGTGGTGTCATGCCCTCCTCCTTGCCACCACCAAAAGTACGTTGCGAGTTCATATATGCTGGGTGAGGAAATGCAATGCCTAGCAGAAAAGGACCCGTTGGGTGTTGATCATTGTTATTGTCAGTGGTGGCGGGTGGTGCCGCTGGAGGAGCAGCATGGCGACGAGACTGTGCTTGGCGTTTGTTCCGTAATTTGGCAGCCACCTTGGCCCATGACAGTTCGACCCGCCGTTCATTATTAGCAGTGTTGCCACCAGTCACAAAACTCGATCCGGTGAGAGAGGAAGGATAGTTGATTTCACTGGAGGACATGAATTTGGCCTTGGCCATGTCCACCAATTCCATGACTCCCTTTGAGGTCACAGGCGCCAGCATGTCAAAGAATAGGCTTTCCTCTTGTTGAGGAAGTGGTCGATTTGTTTGGGCATCGTTCACAATGATATCATCTTCGTCCCATGCGGACTCGCCCGCTGTAGATTCCGTGACATTGGAGATATCATTCTTGTTGGGAATCAGCATCTCGGAATATTGCTGATGATCGTCTTGAACGACAATGCCCTCTGTGAAGCAGTCGCATCGTAGACGTTTCCACCATTTGGTGGAATCCATGCTGGTATGAAATGAGGGATGCTCTGATCAAATAGAATGAAGTTTCAGATCAGCAATAGCGTCGTAGGAATACTGTGATGGCGTCAAGTGTCAATCAATCAGCAGTGGTTGGTAGTAAAGATAATGGTCGTATATGATATCTGGACCTGCGTCTGTCTGGGATTGATTCGGATCAACCTTCCAAGCCCCAAATTCCATCCTGGTACTAATCGTTCGCCTTCAAAGACCATAGGTTCCAGTTCCAATCTACAAAATCAGCGTAGGTACATATTCTTGCAGTCTTTAGTGACATCCAACGCATATCACTCCTTCAGTTTGGAGCTTTCACATGGTTTCAAATTTTTCAGTAAGTTCGGGGGAACCGTAAGTTCATTTTCAAAAAGGTTCCCCCCCTAATTGTGGAGAAGAGCAGTTCAATATAATTGCAAGATGTCAAATTTGGGAGTCGGTCTGCCCAGATGTCCATCCAACCATACACTTTCAACTTTGCGCGAATTCATCATGCAGAATCAAAATCACCATATATACACCGCGGATCTTCCATTATATTGCACCAGAGTAATAGCAGCATGTACGGGATTCATCCGATAAGAGGATGCTACACCAATCTGGCCATTTGTCTTATTGGAGCTATCATCATAATACACCCATCACATGCCTTCTTTATTGTACGACAACAACAACAACAACAAAATCGCCATCCAGAAGATCCAACAACAGTAAGACTGACTTCAAGTTTTGTGGGCATGGGCAGAACCGATCTATGTCTACGCCCACATCTAAACTTGCGCAATCAGAATCATCGGCAATACCCATCCCTGACTAGCCTATTGTTGAGAGCCAGCAGCACCGCCATATCTGGCGATGACGATATCCTCAACGACGACGACGACGACAATGTGAGCCCAGTAGATGAAGAATCAGCTGATGATATTAATAATGCTGACAAGGATGATCAGGAAACCTTATTATTGGTACATCAATTTGTCGCTCGCGTTCAAGAATCCATTCACGAACAAACGTTTTCGTCGTTGGTGCTGAGAGGAGTTCCAAAGCCCAAAAAAGCCAAATCAAAAACATCCACCACGACAATGGAATCGAGTTCGACGCTTGGTTCCACAGCCAATTCGCTTCGGGGTGTCATTCGACAAGTCCAAGGACGACTGATAATGAGCAAACAGAAAAACACGGATGAGGTCTTGCTGCAACTCACTTGGAAATACCATGGGGCTACCGACATTTGCAAAAATCTAAACCTGGACGAAATTCCGGAAATCTTGCCCCAGCTCATTTTGGAAGCTCCTTCGGTGGTGGTCTCGGAATGGGGTGCGGAAGCAATTGCCACCAATCCAATCCAAGGAGCCGAATTGCATACCTTGACCCACGTGGTTGACCTTCAGCTAGCTGGTGGTGGTGGCAACAAGAAAAAGAATAAGCCCAAATTGATAACTCGGGTATCCAAAAAGACCAAGGCCAATAAGCAACAACAACAACAACAAGGACAACAACAAGGACAACAAGTTATTGTTCCTACCGCTCACGACCGTGAAAAGCAAACCCCGCTTGACAAAAGAGCCGACTTTTTGCAAGCCTTGGGTGTGACGCATGCCAATGGCAAACCAAAGCAAGGGATGAAGTCCAAACTTCGACAGTGTCAAAAGTTTGTGGAAATTGCGGGCCGACTGATTGACAAAGTCGTGGAAGAAGGTGCTGATAGTGATGATAGTGATGATAGTGATGATAGTGATGATAGTGATACCAAACGCAAACAACGACCCATTTCGGTGGTGGACATGGGCTGTGGACGAGGGTACTTGACATTTTCATTGCATTCCTATCTGGTTGCAAACAAGCAATATGCTGCGACAAGGTCGAGAGGGATTGATGTTCGACCCAAATTGGTGGAAGAGATATCGGGAATTGCTAGATCGCTCGGCAAAGACTTTGATGGATTGCAATTCGAAGAAGGTACCATTGAACAATTTGTGGCAGAAGTCGAGGAAAAGAAGATAAACGAAGATGAACTGAGAGTCTTGATTGCCCTTCATGCATGTGATACTGCTACGGATGATGCCATTTGGTCAGGAATCTGTTCGGGAGCCTCGCTATTGATTGTTGCACCATGGTAAGTAAGCTACTTTTGGACAACATGGAAGTGCTACTCTCTATTGGATGGTTGATCTCATTATTGTTGCTGCCGTTTGATTATGGCACCATATGCGTTTGATTGATGAATTGATGAATTGTTGAATTGATTGATTCATTCATTCAGCTGTCACAAGCAAGTGCGACCGCAACTAAATTCTCACTATGTAGCTGAAAGTCAAACGCATCCACTTGCCGACGTACTAAAGCATGGAGTCTATCGCGAACGCATGTCGGAAACCATTACGGATTCCATTCGGGCACTCCTACTGGAAGCAGCTGGATACAAGGTTCAAGTCTTTGAATTCATCGGAGGAGAACACACAAGTAAAAATGTCATGATTACAGCTGTCAAGACTGGCCGCGTGAGCAAGGATTGGAGAGATCACTCCAACAATAAGGAAATGATGGAACCAATCGTCAAACGAATCCAAAGTTTGGCCGAGCTTGGTGGAATCAAACAACAAAAGTTGGCCGACTGGATGGACATTGATCTGGGCCACCTTTCATCAGCCTCCAAGGCGAAACTTCGAATGCCGCATCAAATGCCACCGGTTCAGAGGAGGTGACTGATGGACTGACTTTGAAGTGGACGATGATCCGTTATAGACATGTCAACTGATCAGCCATGGTATTAAAAATGATTGTCTCACTGCCAGGGCAGCAAGGAGAAGCATGCCAGCCATCTGGCTTTTACTCACCACGCAAGAGTAAAGCGAGGGGAGGGTCCATATACCGGTAATACTATTTGCGAATGATGACGAATCTCTAAGCAGCGGAGAGGATTCATATATTCATTCATTCGTTGTTGCAATAATGCATGAAGGAGCGAATGAATGAATGAATCCATCATCAGTCGATTGGAAGGCGAATATTTTTGAGTCTTGAGGCGAACGACGATAGACATATTAGGAATCATACAATAGTACCAGGCACCCGATACCGTAGAAGGCTGGTTCGTTGGTTGGTCTCCGATCCGAAATGAGATGGATTGTTGGCATTGGAATTGGATTGGACTGCTGATGGACCATTCATTCATCATATTGCAACCAAAGCCATGTTGGCCACCAGCCATTGGGTAACATGCGATTTACATGCCGCCGAGCCCGTTGGGGAATTAAAAGTACAATGCCAACTCCACCATAGAGAACCTTCAGGCAGTGAAAGTTTCCCCTTGTTGGAGCACTGAAATTACAACTGTTGACTGTTGCTTCCAGCTTATTTTGGGAATCAGGTGTTTCCGCCCTGCAGAAGTTGATGGGTTAAAACGAAAATACAGGCACGTTCGTATAAAAAATGTAATATATCTACGACTACCAGATAATACTGCGGGACCCACTTTCTCACTGGTACCGGTACTGCAGACAGTCAATTTTACTGTAGACAGTCAATTTTACCTCCTTGGTAACATTTGGCCTCCCTGCAACTCACTCATGGATGATAAAAGAGGCGATAAAATCAAAAAAAATTCTGCTCATCCGCTCGTCTTCCAACTTCAATAGGAAGTGGAGCGTCTATTGGCAATACCAATTTATCAATCAGAGTTCGCTTCCCATCCTTGGGTCACTTACCCACGCAAAAAGAACCTTCCGCTCCTCCAACTCCACTCTTGTCCATAGTTTGGGACACGTTTCGCATGTCATGCATGCATTTTCATCTCTCTCTCCAAAAGCGTGTGCGAATGATGGGAATTTTGTGAAGCTAATTCTGTGTTGTTAAATGAAAATCTGGAATCTGGCAGATGGCTTTTAAGATGAGCGTGTCTCTTCCAACACGAATATTTAACGAAAGATTGAAAAATCCGCCTTAATACCGACGAAGATTTAGGAATAGAATGCAAATTCCGTCTTATTAAGGGAAGGTGCCATACGTCAGCCATTTTAATAGCCTTCCACCAATAAGAATTGTCCGTGTGTGGAATTCCTCCCCAAACTCCGAGTTTGGTTGGGACGACAAACTTCCGGACTTTGCGGTTTGTGAGTCTTTTGCGACGATGATAAACTGCCGAGTGGGGACTCGGATTGTTCTCTGTGTTCTTCTGTGTCTAACCTACTTATATTTTCTTCAAGGTAAGCGTCGTCTCAGCTGAAACTACAGCAGAAACCTGTAACTCTCCGACACATGCGCTTCGCTATTGAAAAGGTGCCAAGATTCCACGCATGCAGGGCCCCTTCGGTGACGGAGATTCAAGGAAGTGACAAGAGTCTTCGCACTTCTCAAAAAATGCTGCTCACTTTTCCCAAAGGTGTCACAATTTTCAAGAACCAACGGCATTTTACGAGCGAACTCAATACAAGCCAAAGTAGCACTACTAAACACAAGCTTAACAGGATGAAACACCAACGCACCCCAATCATGATTGAAGACTATTCCGATGATGAAAATCTCTCACTAGGTCCGCTTCGAAAGAGGCAAAAGAGAACTGGAATGGCTCCAGCACTTACGTTGGAGTCATTGATTCGTGCCGGAGAGGCCTTGAAGGAAGAAGATAAGGAATCGGAACTAAGAGAAGAGTCTCCAAGATCTTTTGGGTGTGTCACTCCCACCCATGAGCACCAAGACAAAGCTGAAGATGCTCCTCTATACCGAAAGTTGGTCCAAACCGCTCTGAGCGATAGTTTGGCCGCTCTTGAAGAGCCAAAGTGCACAGCCGCTGGGTCTGATTTCGAATCAAGTTCCAAGGACTGGAGACAGTACTGCCGACCATTGTCTGCTCCCCCACGCCTCCCGAATGTTCCTTTTGGTTTCATTGTATCTGAGAAAAACGGGCTGTCTCCGATTCTTACCTAAGCCGTGCTTGGGCATTGCTAAGGATACGGATACGCACGACCTATCTCACTGATACAACCAAGCTACTGGGGAATCAAAAGGGCAGCTATTACTGCCAAATCGAGCAAGATCACACTTGCTCATGCTATATGCTATATTAAGGAACTGATGGACACGTTTTGTTTTACAAACTGCTGCCGAATCTGTTCAACAACTATAAAGAGTTTGAGCCACATTTGTGGTGCCTCTTGAAGCACTTCTGGATGACTGTAAGCCAAGAATGCTTTTGTGGGTGCAAAGAAATGAACTCGAACACTGAATCTGAATCCATGTTCATGACAACCAATCAAGTGGCTGTCATGTTCAAGGTAAACAACGTACTACTATTACTGTCATCTGAACCAAAATACTAAGCTACCACTTGTACAGAAGCTAAATATAAAACTTTCAAATGTTTATCATTATTATCATCATCGTTATCATCAGTAGGACCTAGGACTAAAGACTGCTTTGTGTTTATCATTGGAACTAGAAAATCCATCACCTACTGTATCCTCCACACATTCGGGCATTTCCCGCCCCATTTTGACACACGATTGACACCCACCGAACGAAAAACGCTTTGGCATTGTTTTCCCAGCCGCAGAAAGGCTTCGGAAGTATCAGCGGCAGCATTTCAATCACGCCGTAGAAAACATACGAGTGCCGGTTTATTACATGGAGAATGAAATTGCATACGCCGCGATCAAGATTTGACATTTTGATACAAGTTCGTTCCCGATTTGGTTGGACGAAAACCGTTCGCCTCCAGTCTGTCAGTCGTCCGAGGCGCATGTAGCACGTGACTTTCTGATGTGCTAGGTGAAACACTCCCAAATTCGTGGTGGCTCGTGTTCTGCATCGAATGCATTCTCACGGCCATCAAAAGTGCATTTTCCAGTAAGATTACGTCATTCTTACGTCAGTGGTTTTAAAAAAAATGCGATTCGTCAGTGAGTGGAGCGAGGTCACTATTTTTAGAATTATAAAATACTCACCACGACTACTATACACGTGTACTGAAGTTCTCATTCACGAATTCGCAAAAAAAGGAAAATAATCGTAAAAAGGTGCTGCCGGTGGACGGTCGCGCTTCCGGCGTTTACCTTGATGTTTCTCTTGACACTATTCTTCGCCCAACCGAGAACCCCATATGGGTTTCAGAAACACTTCATTTGATCATTAAAATGCTGCCGGAAGCCCAATCGAGAAGACTTCAGTGTTGTCAGTGGGTGTTCTCGTGCAAGATACTGTCTTTTCTCCTTTCTGATCAAAACTAGAAGACGAGACGAGCGAAGATTCGTTTGATCCTCATCCTACCGTGCTGCCAGAATCTCAGAATCTCTTTCGCGCAGCATAGACTTCTAGAGATATTGGCAGTGTGGCTACCGGTGGTATACTATATACCGGTAGTATGGCGATGTTGGCTGTATAGTATAGCATGGTGCTACTGGCTAGTATAGCTACTGTACCTACTTTATACTTTGTCAAAACAAGATAGTTATATAAATACTGCGCATGTTGTTCATTATAGATTGGTGCATAGGAATATGCACTTCGCCGTATCGCTAGCTATACTTTAGTTTCGGCGATTGCCTTGGCAATCATACCCCCTACTTCCGCATTTTGCTTGACCAAGGCAATATTACTCTTGAGACTATCTCCCTTTGTTGTTTCCGCCACTGTCTTTAGGACAAAGGGTGTTGTAGCTGGACCTGTAATCCCCTTTTCCTCGGCTGCGGCGAGAGCACTTTGAATGGCCGCTTCGACACTAGCTCCTGATGCCGGATCCTTGTTTGGTACTCCGACAAGACAGCCATGTGTCATTTGCAACGCACGGGCGAAATGAAAGGCTCGGGCTACTTCCTCCGCACTATCCACACGGTCCGGGCACTGGACTCCTGAAGCCGGAGAGAAAAAGGCCGGAAATTCGTCCGTTTGCCATCCATAGACGGGGACACCGTTGGTTTCCAGAACTTCCAAGGTTCTCTGAAATCAATCATGCAGATGTTTTTTTTTCAATTGTATTTGTATTGGTGGGAGCATTCCATGCAGACGAGGTGGCGCAAGATGGTTTTGAGAGATATGATATGGGGACAAGTTGCAATTTCGTGTGTGAGTCAGTTGTGCAGTTTCATATTTCGAAAAAATTGGAAAGCAGATGGCTCATATAAATTTGACAGAAACCATGTGCAACTACAGCAATCAATATATAAAACATATCCAACTTACCGGAATGTCTAAAATGGACTTGATTCCTGCTGAAACCACCACCACAGGCGTCCTGGCCAATTCGGTCAAATCCGCAGAAACATCCATCGTATCTTCCCCACCTCGGTGTACTCCTCCACTGCCCCCTGTCACAAATGTTGAAATGCCTGCTAGATGTGCCAGTTTCATTGTGGACGCCACTGTCGTTGCACCCCAAAGTAGTTGGTTCTGAGGAAATGATGATCGCATGAGAAAGGTTGACATTTCCCGGGTCGAACATTTGTGCGCCCGGCCCTCCGTTCCAGCAATGGCCAAGTCTTCCAATTCATCTTGCGACAAACCAATTCGACAAACCCCTTGATGCATGGCTATCGTGGCGGGAGTAACATTCTGAAGATGATGATGGTCATGATGAAGTGGAGGAGGAGAATTAGGAAACAATATCAGAGACAAACAAGATGACAACATATATGATCTAGAGTTCAATATTCTCGTAAAAGGAAATCGAAATGGGAGTTAGTACGTACTTGTTTTCGCAATATGTCTTCCACTTCTTTGGCAACTTGCACATTTTGTGGATACGGCATTCCATGAGCTGTCAATGTTTCAATATATCGTATAGGTTGGCATTGTCACAGTATATGATGAACGAATGAATGAATCAATCGTTGTTGTGAGAATGATAATGCCTGACGCAGATAAGATACATTTCGATTGACCCGTATTTCCCTTTATTACTCACCGATAATGGTAGATTCCAATGCTACCACTGGCTCACCGTTTGCTAAGGCTTGCTGAACCTCATGTTCCAATTGTATCAGATTGTTGTTTGATGGTGGTGCGACTGCTGTTGTTGCTTGTCGAAAAGGGGGTTGAGGTCTCTTTAATATGTGATGAATCCTAGAAAGCTGCCATATACATGATGTTTTATTCATTGCTCTGCTGTTCGTTTCCCCTCTGAACGATGATGATGATGATGATGATGATGATGATGATGATTCGCAAGCCCACAGTAATGTTTATATAAAACGCTTTCCAATGTACTGTGACGAGAGAAGATACTATGTATGCCGTGCGATCCAATACATAATGTCAAATCATATATATCATCGATCATCGAGCATCCATCACCTGCGCGCCAGCCGGCGGACACAGATCGAAGGAGTCATTCAACGGTCATCCTCCAAATCCAGTTTGTGCGCGCACCGCCCTCTCATAACTTCAATTTTCTCAATACATATTGTTACCGACCGTACCGTATTATTGTTCAGCTACCGAATAATAACTTTTCGCCATTGATTGCAATTGTAGGACTACGACTACGACTATTGAGGCTATATTGTACTGGATTGGCACGAGACAAACCAAACTTTGCTGAATATCCTACTGTGAGATTATAGGTCTCAGCTTTGACATCGTCACATATTTCATTCATTCAGGAGAATTCAGGAGCATCCTGTTCAACTTCACAACAAACTGTACACACTTCAATAATCCTTCCTTTCTGGCCAACGAAAGCATATAAACTACCATCCAACAACCACTATGTTCAATTTTGGCAAACAACGCAAGTTGGATGAAGAAAAGAAGAAACAAGAAGATCTAATTGCAGCTCAACTTAAGGCACTCGAATTGGATCATGAACTGGAATATGAAAAGATGACACAGAAAGGTCTCGTCAAACAACAAGAACAACGTATTCAGAAGGAAAAGGAAGAAATCGAAGAACGTCAAAGACAAGAAAAGAAGAAAAAACGTGAACTGGCCAAGAAATCTAGCGCTGTCTCATCGCCGTCAGGTGATGCGGAAAATGGGATTGCCATTGTCGATCATGATGGCGATTCAGATTCTTCGGTGGATGAAAATGCCCAACCCAATCAAAACCAAGACAAAAATTATCTGGAAATGGCTCGCATGGGCTATCAACAACTGATCAATGCAATTATTAGGCCGCCGAGAGCGAACTATGAGGTACGATATGCAGTGTTATATTCTGATGCACGATGTTTATGCTATTGCTATATTATTCTTGGATCATTATGCTGATTATGTTTCCACATGTTGACTCATCCCATTGACTTCTTCTTCCTTCGTATATTTTAGATGCGGCAATTGGGACCTTCGAAATTCAATTTTGCGGGCAAAGCTTTTGAACGAGAGGATTGGACGTTAATGACGGAACGGGGTTACAATCTGAAGGTGTCGCAATGGAGTTTGGTGGGTGGCGGGATTCGACCAATCCTCATTTATTTGCACGGCAATGCCTCGGCACGATTGGAAGTGATACCACAACTTACCAGTTTGTTGGCGATGGGAATGACGGTCGTGTCTCTGGATTTTGTGGGTTCGGGAAAGTCGGATGGTGAATTTGTCAGTTTAGGGTATTACGAACGGGAGGATTTGGCAACGGTCGTGGCACACTTGCGGCGGTTGCATCATCAACAACAAAAAGATACCGGAGACGAGGTGGCAGAATTCAAAATTGCACTCTGGGGTCGATCGATGGGAGCTTCAACAGCCATTATGTACGGAGCTCGGCCGGATGCTCGCGTCAATTGTATGATTTGTGATTCGGCCTTTTCCAGTCTGCAAAATTTGGCCGAGGAATTGGTCGAAACCGCTCGCAAACAAGGAGTAGTTGTGCCCAATGTAGTGGTCAGTGCGGCCATTCAAATGATTCAATGGACAGTCCAAAAGGATGCTGATTTCAATATCAGAGACTTGACCCCTGTGAAATACGCTGAAGATTGTGATGTTCCAGCTCTCTTTGTCCACGGAGAACACGATGATTTCATCAAGCCACATCATTCCGAAGATATTTGTGAAAAGTACAAGGGGTCCAAGAATCTACTCATGGTGGAAGGAGACCACAACGATCCGAGACCGCATTCTTGCATTGTGGCTTGTGAGAGCTTTTTGCAAAGGCGATTGGAAATGAAGGAAGAATGGAAATTGTTGGATGTTGCATCTCTGAAACATCCCATGTATCCACCGTGGGTGCAAGATTCAACCATGGGTAAATACAAGACAACGGCAGCATCTAACGGATTTGATGACAAGACCATGGGAATGACGACCAAACGACAACAAGAAATCCAATCGAGTATCAATACGATGCTTGGTTCAGGTGCGGCTCCATCGACGCCGGATGCTCATGCGGAACAAAGCTCAGTGGAAGTGGAGTTTTGAATCAATCACTATCTTCATAATTCTGCTGGCAGAGTAACGATGTTGGGAAGTGAGAATGAGATGTCGCCAGGAAGACATGTATAGTCCTAGTAAAATCAAATAATTTTTAATTATCACTTGACTGTTTGCAACATTATCACTAGAGGTGTTTCCAACGCGCATGGCGATAGCTGCGAACATCAAAAGATGATGGGAGTTCTGACTACTGAAGTTTACAAGCTGCAGAAGTACCACTTGTCTTTCCGACGATATGATTCGACTCAGGCGGTACCTGGTACGTACTCATCATTGGCCTCACATTTTACTACCGTACAGTATTGCCGTCAAGTGCAACGATTAGTTAATTTTGGCACCCGCGAGTGCGAAAGGCATGAAAAGACAGAGTATCATTATTATATCTTCTATAAATTCAAAATGTATATGTATTACCGTTTGCTGTTCACCTAAAATCGAACAATGTTTTAGTGCAGAACGATGGCTTCAAGAGGATGACGCGCCCCCGTAGCACGCAAATAGTCATTTCTTAGAGTTCGTTGCAGGACGCTTATTCAGACTTGCCACCATCTCTGCCACAATCTCCTCTCCACGAATTTCCCATTCTTCGCGATTGCTTCTGGCATAGTTCTGTACAAGTGGGAGTTGGCGTGTTAGTGCCTGTGTGTCGCGAACGAGAATATACATTTGACAATAGATCGAACTTACCAAAAATTCGTCGCTAGACTTTCCAAATACACCACAACTCTCCAGCTTCTTTGCCAATGGGATGATGTAAAAGTCGAAGAAACCCATCTCTCCCTTGTACCATGTCAAAGCAGGATCCGAGTCGCTTCGACCCTGGACGTACGCCGCATGCATCTCATGAAACAGACGCTCGTTCCACTTTCGGTAGACACTGAAACGCACAACAAAAACAACAAGAGATGAGGAATTGGTAGGACAAGCGGAGAAAGACGCAACAAAGAAATATGGAACGTACTGCCAATGCTGCATCGTATGACTGACATCTGATGCTTGAATCAGGTGCTCGATCACAATCGTTGCCTTCCGATTGATACTCTCACGGCTCTCATTGTCAAGTTCCTCGATGCTACCTTGATTCTTGAATGCCTTGTCCCATCGATTGTTTCGCAAGTTCTTCAAGTCCTTGTCCACGATGTCTGTTGCCATGACTGCGTTCACTGCCAACTCTCGGAATCGGATAATTTCAGCTGGAGTGGCACAAAGGTGCTCTCGAAGGGTTGCAAAACGGTCGCTCATGAACAGGTTCCAAGCAAGGACAAAGCTGTTCTGTTCGGCCACACTGCGATTCTCGTACTTGGCTGCGACGACGGCTCCTTCTTTTACCAGCTGAGCATTGGTTACGCCTGCACCATAGGAAATAGAACGAGACAAGGTGAGCCACAACAATATCGACGATTCTATAGCACATCGATCAATCATGATGGCTTACCTTCGTGATCTACATCATGGATCAAAGCAGCAAATGCACAGGCAAATTGAGTCAAAGGATCCGATGTAATGCCATACGTATGATCATGTAGGTTTGCTTTCACGTGGAAGGAATCATCGTCAGATTCGTTCTCGTTTTCCATCATTTCGAAGTCGGTTGGAGCTTTGATTCTCGACAGCAACTTGATGACACTCATAGTAACGTGACTTGCATGCTCAAAGTTGTGGAATGAATTGGATCTGTACAGACTAGCAATTGTACTGATGAAATCGCGCAACTCGGTTGAGACACTGGTTGGGATGTCAATGGTATGCGCATCTTCCTGCGAGTCTTCGACAGTTTGATCGAACTCTGGAAGCCAAATAGTCTCTCGGACATCGTGCAGTGGCTTGAGGTCGTCCTTCTTCATATCTTCAACAACTCTAAGATCCACAGCCGACAGGTCGTTCGAATCTTTCTTAGCAGCAGCATAGGCATTCCTTCTTGCAACAATCTGCTTGAGAATGTCAGTGAAAACAGTCACATTCCAATCGACGAGCCTATCTTTGCGATTGCCAGCATCATCAAGATGGTTTCCAAAAGCGGCGGGAGCAGTTTCTTCGAAGCTGCTAGTGCTCTTCTCTGACACAGACGCTGTCTCGGAACCGGTACCGGTAGCCTCTTTAACACTCTGGACTGCTTTGCCAATCCAATACGTTTGAAGATCACCCTTTCCCTTTGCAATGATAGTTCCCTCTCGTTTGACTAGCCAATGACCCTTGTGACACTTTCGTAGATGATCTGCCGTGTCCTGTGAAACGTGAATTCGACCTGCAGCCCCCTTGCTTTCAACTCGAGCTGCCACGTTCATTGTATCCCCTGCCATGGAAATAGGTAGCGAAGACAATCGTTAGATCAAACTCCGTCTTCATTTCGTAACAACGCAGCCACAGACATTCTAGCGTACCAAACAATTGGAATCTCGCCTTCTCTCCTCGAATAACACCTGCAGTAACGGGTCCCGAGTGGATACCAATGCGAAGCAACAGGTCTGCAGTGTCGGGTCCAAGTGTGGTTTCCAACGTTTGTGTCATATGGGTCATGGCGCGAGATATCTTGTGGGCGTACTTTACCATCAGCACGGCGTGGTCTATATGAGGTCAAGAACAAAGATGAATCAAACATGAGACCAATGATTATACGTCGTATCCGGACTCAAAAATCAGTATCTTCATATCTCACCTTTGCGATATGTTGGAATTCCGGTGGCAGCGACATAGCAATCGCCGACGGTCTCCACCTTGAAAACCTTGCTGTGTTTGGTGAGGCGGTCAAATTCACCATAGACAGTCTCCAGTAAAGTGAATACTTGCGATGGTTCCCTCACAGATGACCACGCAGTGAAGCCACAGATATCAGCGAACATGACAGTCGTGGTCGCAAAATAGTCGGCAAGCGGTGGTCGCGACAAGTCAGTAAGTGGATCACTCGTTGGATCAAGGAGCTCGTGGAAGTTTCGTGGGTTCTTCCTGCAGCTTTCGTCGCCAATGATCTTGTTGCGAATGTTGTCCGGGAAAAGAGAAGTGATGACAGCATTTGATCTCGCTGCATTCGCTACCAGGGTTTCGTTTCGTTTATGGACAAACGAATTGTACACGAAGAACACTGCAATCATAAAGGCAAAGGACCCGGCGATGCAAACAGTGTACAAAAGTGGCACCGGCGTCAGATACAAGTTTGCAAACTTGTTGTCGGGATACAAGTGCATCGAGTACATGCAGTGTCCTTGTGTTGTCTCGAAGTCTGGATGAGTATAAAGGGCAAGATTCACAAAGCGCTCGTATTCATCGTACTTTGTTTGGTGTAAATCTTCGTCTCCCAGATAGAAAGCATCCGGCCCTAAAATGAAAGTGACAAGTGAGAAAATCGTATTTGCTGGTGCAGGAGGATGAGGAATTGAATGAAGATGAATACATACCATTGATTTCGTATGAAAAGCTTTGGCCGCAGCTATTCTTCAGGATTGCATGGATCCCAATCACGCCTTCTGGTAAAAGGTGTTGGAGCGAGAAATCCCAACCCATTGATGAGGCAAGGGCAGCAACAATTGGACTGTCTGTGTCCTCCGATTCCAAATAAATTGGAGTGAATACAAAGCTGTGAGGAAAGGCGGTCGAAGATCCTTCAATCTCACTGTGCATGGCAGCATGTTCTTCATTGGACAATGAAAGTCCGGCTGTGACATACGGTCGAACTTTCGATATCGGAGATTCTGATTTCAAGGTTCTGAGTGCTTCAAAGACATCGGCGTAGTCAGGAACACTGGCCGCGTTCCAATTGACAGCTCCATATGTAAACATAGGTGGCGAAAACTGCCACATCGGATAGTAAACTTCGCGATCGATATCTGGAACGAACCCGTCCTTTGTACCGACAGTGAAAAATGGCTTATATCCCACTGGGTTCAAATCGTCCAGATTTCCGTTTTCGATCATGTGTGCTTCTTTGATTACACGCTCGTGGTTGTTACCAGTGTAATTCAAATAGGCGTCTTGGTTTCCTTTTGTAACTATAGGAAAATATGTAACGGCTTCGGTTCCAGCAATCTTCAAGATATGCTCAGCATAGGCCTCAAACTTCGGGAGATCCACAAAGGGCCACGTCTGATTGCTTGTAGCAGCGTAGTCAGAAATGATTGTGGCAAGGGTACGGAATCCCTCGAGAATTTCTTGTTGCTGGCGAATGGCGGCGTCAGAGAGGGCATCCGAGAACTGGTCGTACTGAGCAAGTGGGACGAAAAAGAGGCTTAGACAAAGTTATACTGCGCACAGTGGTCATAAGATTACGTACCGCAAGGTTCAAAGCCTTGTGTTCCTCCTCTTGCAAGAAGTGGAATGTTAGTCCAGACACTGTCGCTCCGATCACTAGAATCAACAAGAGGAGGGCAGAACGCCAAAGTCGGACAATGCGATCTTCTTTACGAGAACGATTTCGGATCTCTTGAACTTCGTCTCGCTTTTCAGATGCTGATTCGTCTGTTTCAGAGGTAGATTGAGACATAAATTTGGACTTTCCGAGATCTCCTGGGATACCCATTAGATCGTCATCATCCAAGTCTAGGCTTCTGTTATCCAAATGTCGCATGCTTTCGTTGGATGCAAGAGATTGTGAGCGATTTGGCATGATGCTAAATCTTTTCGTCGTTCAGAATTGTGCGACTTTGTTTGTGTGTGGCTTTTTTGGGAGAACTGATGGTGGTACTTGCGCCTCTTTCGCAATCCCGGGAAACATTTATTGGCTTGAATCGCGCATATATTTGAAGGGGAAAACTTGTGACAGAAGCTTTTGAAGGAGAGCTTTCCGATAGTTTTCTACTTATTCTCATCTCTCCCGCATGACCGCCTGGTGTCAGGGCAATAAATAAATTTCGTGTTCCACAAGGAGTGGAACCAAGATCTGCTATTCTGAATTTTGTATTTTATGCGTGTAATACACGTACTGTACCTGACCTTGTTGCAGCGACCAAATGGAAAGAAACAAACAAGAGGGAACTGTTGCTTCAACTAAGGTTTGTCTTTGCGACGTCTGCAAGGACAAGTACGAATCGCCTCAAACAACAAGTGTTGCCAGGAGGAGGAGTGGTATTGCCAGCAAGACAGGGTAATTTTCATAAATAAGGGCAAGGGGACAGACGGGTGTCACCGCTCTCTCAAGCGGGTTGCGTGCCAACACAAATGTATCAAAAAATAACGGTCATCGTCGTCTGCACGCGGAATG